CGTTACAATTTGATAGATGTACCGTCAGGGACAAACTCTCCGCCTGATCCTGGTCTTCAGCGAGAGTCGCGATGCTACCAAGTGTGCTTAATACGAATAAAAAGAGCCGAAACTCAAACCTCATAGATCTTCCTCACATCTTCATCACTCACACAGTTTAAGGCATTTTCTTGTATTTTCTGCCTTTTTTGGCTTCCTGTTATCGTCTATAAGCATTTAAACAAGTATTTCCACCCCTACTTCCTGATAAATCACGGCCATTTTTGTTCGGCCATATAAAAACGCATAATACTATCATATAGATCTTTTAAGTATTGACTCTAATACAAATTTTTCCAAACGATTGACCATGGACAGGGGTTAATATAGAGATTTAATTACATCGGAGGAATCCCTTCGTAGGTTTAAGAATTTTTAAAGTCAAAAATCCTAAGGCAATCTCCTTCTTGGTGTTTAAAGTGGTCTCAAAACTTCATTTTATTGAAGAAATTGAAAATGAGTACAGAATGGCAAGAAGATTGAAGACACCCACCACGCTTAATCCACATCGAGCATAATATGGCATGAAGACGAGATTTGGTGGGCACATGCGTTCAGCCCATTGGCCTTCCTTTCCTATCACTGGAGTGCACTGGAGGTAAAGATTTGGATTGCTGAAAGTAAGTACAGCTTTACGAATTTCAGGGTTTGATAAATGACACTGAAGAAGTTCTCGGCTCTTGTAAAAGTTATTTTTAGGCATACCTAGAATGGGGGCAGAGCAGGTCTTTTTCGTAGCTAAATTCGCATTCATTGGTAGAATCACATTTAGAAAAAACGAATGAAGGCAATTCAGAGGTCCCCGTGGATGGAATCTAAAAAGGAATGATATGTTTAGAAAGGATTTCTGTAAAAAACGTACCTCATTCTGCGTCCATTCCAAATTATTCGTTTGAACGTCTGCCGGTGGACGCCATGAGTGGGGACTTGTCACCCATTCAGTAGCCGGAGATGTTGGTGTTGGTGGAGGAGCGGTGAAGTGGATGACTTCAGCTTCTGGAGCATCAGTGGCTTCGGTTTGCCTAAAATGAGGCTATTTTGTTGTGTTAATTATTACATTACTAATTTTTTAACTAATGAATATGACACATTTGGGCAATAAAATTTCCATTTTCATCCATCCTCAGCACGAGTCTCCGATTCGTGCCGAGGATGGATGAAAATGGAAATTCTCGCGACCTCCGACCTCGCGCAAACGAATGCCGCCTTGAACATCTAGCAGATTGAGGAGCCCCCTTTGTAACCTGTAGAAACGGGTGCAGGATAGGACAAGTGCTGTAGCGCTGTTGCATATAGCGCGTTTCCTTACTTAAGGTAAAATGATTTAGGGCCTCAACAAAGAAGGATGCAGGTGCTTTATTCTGGTTATTGCGTTATAAGTTGGGTCAACGGGACAT